GGGGGGGGGGGCACAGTTTTTGAGGTGCAGGGGGCTCCCCCAGGCCCCAGGGGTTCACAGAGAGGGTGTTTGCATGTGTGGGATGGAGCAGGAACCCTTTGAAGACAGATAAGCCAAGAGGGAGCGTTTGAAACGGGCCAAACCAGTTTGGGGGCCATCGCTTCCACCGGCACTGCAGCCCGGGCTCCACGGCACACCCAGCATTTGCTGGGGGCTGCCGAGAGGTGACCCCCGACAAAGCCCAGTGTAGGGCAGGAGGCTGCCCAGGACACTCCACCCGGCCACTGCTGTCACACTTGGCCCGTTCTCAACCCGGAGGTGTCGAGGAGGCTCCCGCGCTCCCCCTCGCCCTTCACCAACCCCGCACTCAGCCCTATGGCCAGGGCAGCCCTATAGCAAGGCCGCTCCGGGTTGGTGTCCGCCTCCGCCACCCCAAACAAGCCCCAACACCTTCGCCAGCATCCCCCTGGGGCAGGGCGAGCCACCTGGCCAAAGCCTCGCCCCAGCACCAGGGTTGCTCCTCCAAAAGTGGGGACCTGCCTGCACCCCACTGCCACTTGGGCCTCCAACGCCTGGCCTGGGAGAGGCTCCCCGTGGTCCCCACATGGTCCCCATGACCACAGCTCAGCCACTGATGAAGAAACAAAACTCTGGCATCTTGCTGCCAGCGCTGCCCCGAGCAGACACCATTGCCGGCTCCAAATTGCTCCCCGGGGTTTTGCAAGCAAAAATGGGGCTGGACCAGTGTCCCCAGCGGGGATGGCGCTGGTGGCACCAGTCCCTTCCAGCATCAGCAGCAGCTCTGGATTTGCTGAGCCTGGTGCCCACTCCGGTGCCGGCGGCTTTGTGAGCTTGCCCAGCTGGGAAGCTGCTGGAAAAGTTGTGCTTAAGGAAAGGTGGCTTTAGGGATCCCGCTGCTGGCCCCAGAGGGCCGCAGGGCCACCCACCCTGCCCAGGACTTCTCAGCCACAGGCCAACTCCTGGCACAACAGGCAGAGCCCTCGCCCACAACAAAGCACTTCCAAAGTACTGGAAAAAACAGGCAGTGCGGAGAGAAAAACCTGCTACCTGCCCAAGACTGTCCCCTCCTGGCAAATCCTGGGGCCAGAAACACCAAATTTGGGGTAAAAAGCCCCTAGAGCAGCAGATTGTGGCTGTTTTCTGATGGTAAGCACATTGCTGAGCCCACCACCTTCATCCTCACCCCAAAACTCAGCGGATGCTCAAACAGAGCCCAGGGGATGCAGACAGGGAATAAAACGGGCTATTTCAGCTCTCCCAGAGGTGCTCACAGTTGTTGAAAGCTCATGGTGGAGGGCAGCAAGGACACGGTGGTTACAGCCCAGGGGATTTGCAGGGACAGGGTGACCCAGCTAAGGAGCAGAAGGAGCTCGCGGCAGCAGCGCCCGTGGCAAAGGGGGTTTGCTGGAGCTCACGAGGCGCCGCGTGCAGCCAGGCACGTCCACGTACATAGGAGAAAACGCGAGCAAAGAGCTCGGGCGGACACGACTGTTCTGCGAACAAGCGTGCAAGGGCGCGCCGGAGCAAGGGGAGCGGCTCGTGGCTTTCCCCACAGCTCACCAGCCCTGAGGGGGCATCGGGGTGAGCCCCCCACGCAGCATGTGGGGTGTAGGCAGCTGCCTGGGTGGAGCCCAGGCATGGGGCGGAGGCTCAGCAACCTCCCTGCAAGCCCGGGCGTGCGTCCGGGCATCAAAAACACGGCTGCTGCCTCCTCCTCCTCGCTGCACGAAACAGCAAAGGGGCCCCTTGCAACGCTGCTGCTGCCCGCTCCTACTGAAGAGGGGGGATGCTTGCCCCGTACCCATCCTCCTCCTCAGTCCCACGGGGAGCGCAGGGAGCCCTGCCTGGGGATTTCTGACCTTTCCTCCAAGCACTAGCCAGGCTCAGCCTAATGCTTCCAACGGCACGCTGCCGAGCAAGCTCCCTGCAAGCACAGGGCAAGGCTGCTCTCTCCTCCAGGGCATGCCATGGGGTCAGGGCTTCCTGAGCCCTCGTGGGTGTTACAAACGGCAGTGGTGATTTTGAGCGGGCAAAAGCATCCTCCCAGCCTGCACGGCCACCTGCCACCGCGAGGGGACTTGGGAGGGGCAAGGGACAGAGGCCAACCTGGCTTTTCGTGCCCTACACCCGGCTGGGGACCACATCCCTGCCAAGGCACGAGGGTGATGGAGCGGAAGGAAATCCCAGCCAAGACATTGATTTTATTTTTTAAGAATAAAAAAAACCCCAAAACAGACAAAACTTCCTGAAAACAGCTTCCTACCTCATAATTTCACAGAAATTAGCTTGGAAACATCATTTGCTCTCCCCCTGCTCTGAGCTCTGCCCTTTCCCATCCCAACCCAGCCCCCTGGGCGCAGGCAACGCCAGCCCATTGTGCCAAGGGGTGCTGCCCCCCACCCCGTACGGCTGCAGCGGCGTGTCCCTGTGTGGCAGGGCAGAGTCGAACCCCTTTTCCCCTCCACGGTGGCTCCACAGGTCCTGGGGATGGGAGCAGGAGGGTTTGGGCAGCCCCAGCAGGCGCGTACCACCTGCAGCCTCCTGTGGATACCAGCGCCCCCCTCAAAAAAGCTCAGCTCTCCAGCCTGGCACAGGAACAAGGTGCTGGGCATTTTGGGGGGGACGACCCAGCAAAGGGGCTGCAGAGCGAGCGCCGGCTGCGAGCTTGAGTACCGCTTTTCCACCTCTGGCATCACTGGTCCGGCACAGCCCCCAGGGACTCACCGGCTCCAGAGATCAGCCCGGAGGCTTTACCCCTCCCGACAGCAGGACGCCCATTGTCCTGGTGCTAATGAGTTAATAAATTCATTTCTGACTAAGAAATTAGACCCCTAAGAAAAAAAATCACCACCTGCTTTCACCCTCCCCGCTCACCCCCTCCCCAAAATAACCACGGTTCTTTTACGGGTGCCCTCCATGCCGGCACCGAGGCGCGTCAGCGGAGGCTGGGGACAACCGGGTGCCAGCAGTGGCCTGCCTCCGGCGGGTGCAGGG